CACCATCTTTAGCTAGGTGCTTCTGGGCTGTATAAGAGCTAGCTGAAGTGCCTGGTGGTGATGCACACATTTAATCCCAGTACTGTGGAGGCAGGGGAATCTCTTTAAGTGTTTGAGGTCAGCATGGTCTACAAAGAGAGTTCTAGGACAGCCAGGGCTGTTACACAGAAAAACCCTGTCTTAAAAAACAAACAAAAAACCCAACCAACCAAGCACTAAATAAATAAATAAATAAATAATAGATAGCTAATACTGGAGAGTTAATTGAGCATAAGCAGAGAGCTGGCTAGTAAGTGGTGTTTCTTTATGGTTCTGCTTCTGTTCCTACCCTGACTTTCCTCAGTGAGGGACTGTGACCTGAAATAAACCGTTCTAAGTCGCTTTTTGTCATGGTATTTATCATCAGCAACAGAAAGCAAACTAGAGCAGCAGCCATCCTCTCGTATAATTTCAGAACATTTGCGTCATCTCAAAAGGAAACCTTCATACATTTGTTGTTCACCACATTGCCCCCCTCCGCGCCCCCAGCACCTATTTGTCTCTATGTAGCCTCTCCTACTCTAGGCTTTGCTATAAATGAAGTCCTGATAGTATATGTGTGGTCTTTTGTGATCAGCAGCTTTCACTTACTGTAATATTTTCCTTTTTTTCTTTTTCTATTTTTATTTATTTTTTTGAGACAGGGTCTCTATATAGTCCTGACTGGCTTGGAACTTGCTATTATAGACCAGACTGGCCTGGATATCCACCTGCCTCTGCCTCTGGGGTACTGGAATTAAAGGCATGTGTCGCCCGGCTTAGCTCTTACCATAATATTTTCAAAGTTCACCAGTGCTGTAGAATATGTCACTATTTCTTTCCTTTTTATGGCCCAGCCATCATCTATCATATGAATATATTGATTTTTCTAGTGTGTTTCTTAGATAGACATTTGGATTGCTTCTACCTTTTGGCTGTTTTGAATACTGCTACTATAAATGTACATGCAAATATTCCTTGTGGACATAAGCATTTACTTAACTCAGAAGATTGAGTCAGATTATATAAGTCTGCTGAAAATGAGCTTACCAATGATGAGTGAATACTTATTTTTAAATTTAGCCACTTGGATATGGATTTATTTTTGAGAACAAAAACTGATTGCTCTGAAAATTGGTTGATACTCCAAAATTGATGGTGATATGCCTGTGTAGTTACTAAACTGTCATTGCTTACCAGGCCAGTACAGGAACTTTGTTTGTTGAGACAGTTTTTTTTTAAAGATTTATTTATTATGTACATAGTATTCTGTCTGCATGTATGCCTGCAGGCCAGAAGAGGACACCAGATCTCATTATAGATGGTTGTGAGCCGCCATGTGGTTGTTGGGAATTGAGCTCAGGGCCTCTGGATGAACAGCCAGTGCTCTTAACCTCTGAATCATCTCTCCAGCCCTCCTCTTTTTTTTTTTTTTGAGACAGGTCTTCTCTGTGGCCCTGGCTATGCTGGAACTCTTCTGTAGACCAAGCTGGCCCCAAGCTCAGGGATCTGTCTGCCCCTATCTCCTAAGTACTGGGATTAAAGGCATGTGCCACCATGCCCAGCTGTGCAGTAACTTTTTGGTAGCGTGAAAAGAAAACCTGTGTGTTATTTGTTAGACATCTCAACTTTGAAAAGCATGCTTGCATATATATATATATATCCTGTACATAGAGACCCATTTAAACTATTTACAATTTTGTTTAGTTTCTAATAAAGTGACAGTTCATGACCAATAAATACTGTATTGATAGTTTTGTGAAATTAAAATGGTTGGTCTGGAATTCTCTGGGCTGGCCTCGAACTTGCAGAGATGTATCTGTCTCTGCCTTCCCAGTGTGGACGTGTGCCACCATATCTAACACCACTACTCTTTTTTTTTTTTTTTTTGGGCAAACGAAAATAAAATTTGATTTTTATTTTTTATTTCTAAATAATTTTTTATTGTTTTTATTGAGCTATACATTTTTTTTCTGTTTTTCTCCCTTCCTCCCCTTTCCCCTTGTAGCCTCCCTCATGTTCCCCATGCTCCCAGTTTGCTCAGGAGAGCTTGTCTTTTTTACCTTTCTGTGTAGATCCGTGTATGTCTCTCTTTGTTGTCTAGTTTCTCTGGGGTTATGAATTGTAGGCTGATTTTTCTTTGCTTTATTTCTAAAAGCCACTTAAGAGTGAATGCATATTATATTTATCTTTCTGGGTCTGGGGTTATGTACATGTGCAGCCGTTCTGACTTTTTTTTTTCACTTTTTTTAAAATTTATTTATTAAAGATTTCTGTCTCTTCCCCTCCGCCGCCTCCCCTTTCCCTCCCCCTCTCCCAATCGAGTCCCCCTCCCTCGTTAGCCCAAAAAGCAATCAGGGTTCTCTGCCCTGTGGGAAGTCCAAGGACCACCCATCTCCATCCAGGTCTAGTAAGGTGAGCATCCACGAAACTGCCTAGGCTCCCACGAAACCAATAGGTCCAGTAGAATCAAAAACCCGTTGCCATTGTTCTTGAGGTCTCAGTAGTCCTCCTTGTCCGCTATGTTCAGCGAGACCAGTTTTGACCCAGGCTTTTTCAGACCCAGGCCAGCTGGCCTTGGTGAGTTCCTGATAGAACATCCCCATTCTCTCAGTGTATGGGTGCACCCCTCGCGGTCCTGAGTTCCTTGCTTGTGCTCTCTCTCCTTCTGCTCCTGATTTGGACCTTGAGATTTCAGTCCTGTGCTCCAATGTGGGTCTCTGTCTCTGTCTCCTTTCATCGCCTGATGAAGTTTAATATTCAGGAGGATGCCGTTCTGACTTTTTGAATGGGTGTTGGAGATTCAAAGTTAGGTCGTGCAGAGCAAACACTCTTACTCTGGCCCACTTCAGGGACTTTTCATTTGGAACATAGATTCTGAATGTAACTCAGCAGCCTTTTATTTTATTTGCTTATTTTTGAGACAGAGTTTCATTATAGAGCCCAGGTTTTCTTTGGCATAGAGCGCCTTCTGCTCCAGCCTCTCCACTAGTAGAAATGCATGCCATCACCATCACATCTGGGTCAGTCTTTTGTTTTTGTGACAACTAGATCAAATTCCAGGACTTTATACATATTAGGGAAGAACTCTACCCATGAGCATTGCCTTGGTTAATGTTTAGGTGCTGTGTTGTTTAGGGGCTTAGCTTACTAGATGGTCTTCAAGTTCTTGTTCCCTTTACAACATGAGAGGTTTTTGTTATTTTCCTTGTGAGTCTAGTAAATATTTAATTTGTGTTTGGTAGTAGCCCTTTGCTCCCAGCTCTGATTTGTCTTTCAAATTTGTGCACACAGACACACAGACACACACATTTGGAGTGGGGGACTAGGAATTGAACCAAGGGTCTTATACCCTCCACTGAGCTTACATCTCCTGGCTACCTTTTAAGTATTTATAGTACACATTGAGGACTGGGTAACCTGTCTTATGTATGAATAAGAACCTTGGGGCGTGAAGTCCTCAGACTTGGGTTTTTGTAATTTTGTATTTCAGTAGTTTTGTTTCTGTTTATTTAAAGGTTTCTAACTCAGCTGTAAGCTGGTAGGTAGCTTTGTTAAGCACATGTACTTTATGTCAAGTGATGGAATCCCTTGGAAGATTTAGATCTTTTGCTTTTGTCTGTTGCTTCTAAATCTTGATGCTGTTATGTTTTTGCTTGTTGCAGGCTACTAACAATGATTAGCTGAAATATTCTCATTTTGACTGGAAAGATTGTTTGAAATAGCATAAGTTTAAAAACCCCCACAAAAATCTAAAGTTACTTAATAACATTCTTAAATATGAAAACCTGTTGAACCAGTGGAAAGTTGTATTCATAAACGGCAGTGATGTTTTATTTTTCTTCATAAATAAAAATGGATATTCAAAATATAAAGATAATGTTTTACATAACATTTCATGTTGTATGTGTGGCAAAGTACTTGATGTTTACAAGCTAAGAGCTTATTAGAGATTACTTCAGCTTGATTTGAAGTTCCTGTTTCCTGTTTTTGGTGAGCTGTTGAAAACAGATTTCCGATCCTGTGATACTTGCTAATAGTATTACTTTTATATCCAACAAATATATTTAATTCTTGATTTAATTTTTATTCAAGGAAATTAAAAACTTAAGCTATAAATGTAGGAATTGTTAGGCTTAGTTTATTGGTCTTTATTTTACATGTTAAATAGACATTTTTGGAATTTCCTTTGTGATAATTTAATAATGTAGAATTTACAGGGTTACATAGCATAAAGATTTTCAAGACTTAAATATTTGCAGAATTCTATTTACATTCTATCCAATGGAGATAAAGCCAATTGCCTATTTCTTATCTTTCTTTAAATTGTTATATATGGAAATAAAAATCTTGGGGTTGGAGCTATGACTCAGCAGATAAGAGCACTGATTGCTTCTTGAGGACCTGGGTTCAATTCCGTGCACCTACATGGCAGCTCACAAACATCTGTTTGTAACTCCAGTTCCAGGGGATCTGATACCCTCACACAGATGTACGTTCAAGCAAAACACCAATACATAAAAATAAGTCATTTAAAAAATGTCTGTTTTTTTCAAGTTTATTGAAAAATTTGAATAGGAATTACAAAATATTTTGTAGCTACAAATATTCTTTATTTCGCTGGTCCCTCTGGACTGGTTTCTCTCCACCCACCAGTTTAAAGCATAAACTCTTGAGTTAAATAACCCAGAATCTCTTGATATGTATAATGGGGTTTTGTAATGTATTTTACTATGGTGTGTGTTTCTTACAGTTTCGTATTTAATTTTGTTGATTGTACACTTTTGCATACTTATAGAATGTGTGTATAGTAAATTATAAATGTTATCAAAGGTATATTGCTTTGATAGTATGTAATCATTTAACATTTGTTAGCTTAAGAAAAAATGGCTTACCAGAGCATAGAGTTGTATAATAATTAATGTAGCATTATTGTGCTTTCACATTTTTAATGTCTGGTTTTGTTATCTCTTGAATTTCAGGGGGAGAAGAATAATGGCTTTGATGTTCTCTACCATAATATGAAACATGGACAGATATCAACTAAAGAACTAGCAGATTTTGTTAGAGAAAGGTATGTATTTTTATAAGTAGCTTAAGAACTTACCAATTTAAACTTTAGAGTATAGGTAATTGTCAAAATTTTAGTTGGATTTGAATAATCAAAGTTCACTTTTTTAAAAAACATAATTCTATTTTAAAGGCGTGTTTTACAAACTTTTATCATTTCTACATCGAGGATTGATAAAATGGCTTAAAGTGGCATTGTTGAATCCCTAGTTTGCAAATTACCGCTTTATAATATCTATACATTTTGCATTGAATGTATTAGCAAAATAATATAATAAAACAAGAATTTCATGGATTGAAACATTGCCATTTCTTTAAGCAAATAAAAAATTTTGGAACGATTCTTCTAAACACATTAAAATTTTTACTGAAAAGTTTTGTGGTTTTAAATGCTATAAATTAATTTATAAAATGTAATTTTCATTACACCTTTAAGATATAATCTACTTAAAAATTATTAGACATTAATATAATTTGATAGTGACAAAGCTACTTTTGTACTTGGGCTTTCTGCTCCACTTCTACTTTTACTTCATTCATTCATTCAAGACAGAGTCTCACTGTGTATGTCTGACTAGCCCAGAACTCACTGTGTAGATCAGGTTGGCCTGGAACTCTGTTTTGCCTGTCCTTGCCATCTGAGTGCTGGAATTTAAGACCTTTGGAAGTTAAGACCCTGTGCGCCACTTCTCTCCCCCAGCAAAGTCAGGTTGGCCTTGAATTACCTTGGTAGCTAAAGATGACTTTGGCCCTCCTGCTTCAGCCATCCCAGTACTCAACTTCAGGTATATGCCACCACATCTGCTTGTTTATGCTGCGTCTTAGCATTGTTTTGTGACTAGTTCTGTTTAGTTGGTTTTTTTTTGTTATTTGTTTTTTATTTGTTTAGTTTTTTGTATGAACATGTTTAAAATCTTTAGATCATATAGGGACTTTTAGCCTTAAATATTATGTTAATTTATTCTTTATAACCTAGCTGTCTCATGTCTCTTAAAGCATTTGGCACTGAGGAAGGATTCATCTTTAGTAAAAAGATGAATCTGTAGTTTCATCATCTTGATTCTGTTTATTTGTATTTTTGCCTGAATGCCAGCAGTTGCTTCTAACTAGTTTATCTGCATTGATTCTTTTCCTTTTTGATTTTTTGAGACAGGTTTTATCTATAGCTTTGGAGCCTGGAACTAGCTCTTGTAGACCAACCAGGCTGTCCCCGAACTCCCAGAGATCCGCCTGCCTCTGTCTCCAGAGTGCTGGGATCAAAGGCGTGCTGCCACCATACGGCTTGATTCTTTTTCTTTAAACCATTTCCTGTGTTATAGCTAGAGGATTTTTTGTTTGTTTGTATTTATTTATTTATTTTTGAACTACAGATCAGCTTGTTGATTTCTTATTTAAACCATTTCATGGGTTTAAGCCTGAGTTGTTTTAGCTCACACTAGGTTCCTTCTTAATTTCCATCCTAACAGTCTTGAATAGGTTTCCTCCACTCTAGGCATTTTATTTGCTTGTTCCTCTTTGCTTTATTTTTCTGAGTTTTACAGTGTACCCACTTATCCTGCCCATCCTGGTCTCTGTGACTAGGGTAAAATACACCTATTGTAATCTCTTATGGTATTTATAACATCTTTTAGTTACTCATTTGTCTTTGTTTCTGTGGTTTTGTTTTACTTATGAAACAGTGTCCTATTGAACCACAGCACTTAGCACTTTGTTATTGTCTGATATAAGTGCTATTTATTGTCTCTCTTCACTGAATAAATCCCACAATGCAGGGTGCTTGGTTTGTCCTGTCATCTTTCTGAATGTTTTTTTTTTTATATTCTGTCATCTGCATTTATTTTCCAATAGAGCTATGATTTGTCAATCTCAGTATTATTTTGCTTTTTTTCTTCAATTTGTTGTCTGCTTTTGGCTTTTGTAAAAATCTGTTTTCTTTTATTAGTTTAGAAGTAATGCCTGCTTTATATTTTTCTATAGTTATTATCCTAGGTATTACAACATAAATTCCCTGTCCTATTAATATCTGATGGCAGTTGTTACTTTTAGTGCTGCCTTGGTGTTTTCTGAGGTTTCTGTTCTGCCCAGTTCCTAATCGTTAAGTTCCAAAGAAATCACACAGAGGTCTACATTAGTTATAAACTGATTGGCCCATTGGCTCAGGCTTCTTATTAACTCTTATAATGTATATTAGCCCATTATTCTTCTCTATGCTAGCCATGTGGCTCAGTACTTTATTCAGGCGAAGCAGTCACATCTTGCTTCTTCTGTGGCGGGCTCACAACTGCGTCCTTTTCCCAGAATTCTCCTGTTCTCCTTGACCTGCCTCTACTTCCTGTCTGGTTGTCCTGCCTATACTTCCTGCCTGGCTACTGGCCAACCAGCATTTATTTAAAATATAATTGAGAGAATTATACAGAATACAGACCATGGTCCCACACCACCCTGGAAATATTTAGACCTCAGACCATCACAATCTCCTGAGTTGTTTGGAGGTCAGAAGACAACTTACAGGACTGGCTCTGCCCTTCCATGTTCCGTGTGTCTGAGATCACACTAAGGTTGTTAGCGTTGGTGGCCATCTTATTGGCCTTTTCTTTAAAATATTTTTTTCTTGAGTCATGGTTTTGGCTGTATAAATTCTGACTGTCCTGGTCCTCACTATGTAGCCGAGGCTGGCCTTGAACCCATGGTATTCCTCTTCCTTTGGCCTCCTAAGTGTTAGGATTACAGATAAGTGCTGCCACACCTGCCTGTTCCTTTACTTTTCAAAAACTTCATTATGGAAATACACATATTATTTTTGCTGTGCTTTTTTCTTACTATTTTTAAAATGATTTAATGCTTTTGTTGCATGTACATCTGCATTACATACGTGTTGGTACCTGATGAGGCTCCAGAAAAAGGCACTGATCCCCTGGGAGTGAAATTATAGTATGGTGGCTTTAAGCTGCTATATGGGTGCTGGAAATCAAACCTGGGTCCTGGAAGACAGCCAGAGCTCTTAACCATTGAGCCATCTCTCCAACTATCTTTTCTGTTTTTTGTTTCTTTTGAGACAAGGTCTTACAATGTAGCTCTGACTGTTCTGGAACTCACAGTGTAGACCAGGTTGGCCTCTGCAACAGAGATCTGCCTGCCTCTGCCTCCCCAGTGCTGGAATTAAAGGTGTGGGTCACCATGTGTGACTCCTTCATTTAACTTTTTATTGTGAAAATTCAAAAATCTGGAAGCTTTACAAAACAACATCCATCATTCATTCATTCATTCATTCATTCATTTATTTTCAAGGCAGGGTTTCTCTGTGTACCCCTGCCTGTCCTGGAACTCTCTGTACACCAGACTGGCCTGGAATTCTCTCTGTACACCAGACTGGCCTTGAACACGGAGGTGCACCTGCCTCTTCCTCTTGAGTGCTGGGATTAAAGGTGTGTGCCACCACAACTGGTCCTAGATTCTTATAAAGCCAATATCAGATTAACAGATGTTACATTTTCTTCATTAAGAATGAGGTCACTCATGCTTTCCTTAACTCTTTATAAGTTTTGTTCATGAAAACCCCTCTTTTACTTCTTAGTTTTTTAGCTACTTTACCTAGGTGTTCTGTAGGAGAAAGCTGTGCCTGATACACCTGATGGGCTTCTCGGGATACCTTTTCTGTTTGCTTGTGCTCCTTGATGCTCTTTTTTCATATGTATCCTCACCCTGTGTGCCCCTCCCACCCCCACTTCAAAGCTACTTCCTAATTCCAAGTTTTTCTAATTTTCCTTGATAGACGTTTTTGGTGTCTAATTCATAGATATTTCAGTATATTTCTTTCTTTTTTACATTTATCGTTTTTATGTGTATGGATTTTTTGCTTGTATGTACCATGGACTTGCAATGCCCATTAGGGCCAAAAGGGAGCAACAGATTCCCAGGACTGGAGTTAGGGATGGTGTGAGCCGCTATGTGGGTATTGGGAATTGAACCCAGATTCTCAGGAAGAGCAGCCAATGCTCCTAAGTGTCAAACTATCTCTTCATTCTTGTGTTTTTCTAGTTAAACTTAACCATTTTACTAAAATAAACAACAGTAAAAACATACCTCGCCTCGTGGTTGGTGGCACATGTCTTTAATCCTAGCACTCAGGAGGGAAGGTAGGTGGATCTCTGTGTTCCAGTGAGAGTTCCAGGACAACTAGGACTAACAGAGAAACCCTATCTCGAAAAACCAAACAAACAAAAGCTAGTATTTCTTTCTGTATTAACTTTTTAAAAACAATAAAAATTTCTACTTATAGCAATATTTAAAAAGACACAATAATGATTTTTTGTTGTTGTTATTGTCTATTCGTATGAGGTAGTCTTGCTGTGTTTCCCAAGCTGACTTTAATTTGTGATCTGCCTCAGCATACTGACATACTGAATAGATAGGTGTGTGCTCATGGGGTGGATAAAGGAGAAAGGATAAAATCGCAGTAAAGGGGTATTTTTGTTAGTACTTTTTGGGCAGTTGTGTTTTTTTTTTTAATTAATTAATTTATTATGTATACAATATTCTGTCTGTGTATATGCCTGCAGGCCAGAAGAGGGCACCAGACCTCATTACAGATGGTTGTGAGCTACCATGTGGTTGCTGGGAATTGAACTCAGGACCTTTGGAAGAATAGGCAATGCTCTTAACCACTGAGCCATCTCTCCAGCCCCGTGGGGTTTTGTTTTTGTTTTGTTTTTCGAGATAGGGTTTCTCTGTAGCTTTGGAGCCTATCCTGGAACTTCCTCTGTAGGCCAGCCTGACTTTGAACTCACAGAGATCCACCTGCTAGGCAGTTGTGTTTTTGTGTGTCTGTGTGCGCATGCACCTAGGAAGAAATTGAAGATGAGTGTGGAAAGTTGAGGTGATGTAGATGTCTAAGTATAGTTAGACTGGAAAAGCAGCATGGAACCTTCAAACTAAACACTCAGACAGGACGGCTGTAGACTATTCTACTATTAAAGTTAGCACACAATTGAGAAGGGCAGGGGAAATTATAGAAAAGGTAAAGGTTTAGCATTTAGAGGTTACGTGTATAGGACAGTTTGTGGGTTTTTTTCCTCATATCTGCATTTATTTTATATGTAGTAATACTAATTTGTGTGTGTGTTTTAATTTTTGAGTTTAATCACTTTGATTGTTTTTTTTTTAGCCTAAAATCTTCACGCTGTTGGTAACTAATACTTTTTAGTGCAAAATACTTAATGTTTTAGATCTATTTTTAAAGTAAATTAAATCTTTTTTTTTTTTTTTGCTCAGACTTGATACAGGAGTAAATTAAACTCTTAAGGTTCAGGACCTCAGAAATGCCAGTGATTCAGTTTTGTGCAAATGATTGTCATAAGGCTCATTATTAAATTGTTTTAATTGCATCTTTAATTTGTGTGCATGTGTGTGTATATTTGTTGGGGTGGAGGTTAGAGGACATTGTGGGATTTAATTCTCTCTTTCTACCGTGTGGATTCCAGGGGTTAATTCATGTTGACAAGCTTGGTGACAGATATATTTAGCCATTAGCCATCTCACCAGTCCAGGTTCATTATTTTAAATATGCATCATAGTCTTGAACAATAATCAAACTCTATTAAGTGTGTTAAGTACAGGGATTCTTCTTACAGCTCAGGCTGGGATTATTAAACTCAACTGTGTCCTGGTCTTGAATTTGTGATTTTCCTGCTTCAGCTTCCTCAGTGTAGGGATTATAGTAGGTATGTGTTACTATGCTTGGCCTTGCTGGTTTTATTGTTGTTGTAGTATTTTATTAGCTGTTTTTGTTAATCTCTTAGTGTACCTAATTTATAAAATAGTTAAAATTTTATCATTGATGTATGTATAAGGGTAGATTATTTGCTCATACTTGCCATCGCTATGACAAAATACTTGAGAAAGGCAGTGTAAGAAAAGATGTATTTTGGCTCACTGTTTCAGAGCTGTTACCCATGGTCAGTCATTTGTATTGCTTTGAGCCTGAGGCACAGCCATTTATCACAGCAGTGAGAGACTCTAGCAGGGACTGCTTATTTTATGATGGCCAGGAAGCACAGAGCTAGATTAAAAAAAAGAGGATTAAGAGTGATGTCTATCTTCCCAGGATGCATAATTCCTCCAAGTAGACTCTACCACTTATTTTTTACCACTTCCCAGTATCACTAGATGAATCCACTACAGGCTAATTAATCCATTACTTAGGGCAGAGGGCTCATAACCTTATGCCCTCTCAGTGATTGGAATAACCAACTGGAGACCGAACATTCAACATGGGGGCTTTCTTTTTGGGACACTACATATCCAAACCATAACCATAGAGCTTCACACTGTCCATGATTTCAGACATCCACTGGGGGGCCCCCTGCTGCTTTTACCATGTATTTTGAGGCATGCTCTCATTTTTTCATTTTTAATCATATTTTTGTAACTTTACTATGTTTGGATTGCTAAACAATAGGTATTATAATACCACAATTTAATTTAACAGAGCTACAATAGAAGAGGCATATTCCAGATCAATGACAAAACTAGCGAAATCTGCAAGCAATTATTCTCAACTTGGGTGAGTTAATTTCTGACTGTTTTTCAAATGTTTATCTATTATTACGTTTTTCTTTTTTTCTGAGACAAGGTTTCACCGTGTTGTATAGCCCTGGTTGTCCTGGATCTCACTCTGTAGACCAGGCTGGCCTCAACCTCAGAGATCGGCTTGCTTCTGCTTCCCAAGTACTAGGATAAAAGGCACGTGTTACCACTGCCCAGCTGAAATTTCTTAAGTAAATCTGTAAAAAGTCATGTTCTTTTTTATTTGGAAATTAAATTAAATAAAGCGCGCTTGCGTGTGTATGTTGTGTGTGTGTGTTGTGTGTGTGTAAACAAATGCACTCATGCATAAACAATAACATGTAGAAAAGAGAAAAGAAAGGATAAATAGGAGAATGGTGAAAGGACCAGCTGCAAACACAAATTGTTAAAGAGGACATAAAGCTAATAATTTTTCTGACTCTTAACTGTGTCATGGATTTTCTGGTTTTCATGGAAGGTAGTGCTTTCACTACTAAAGTGTGAAGCTTTATGACTTCCATTCCATGGCTGCTCTAACTGCATAGAAATTACACTGAGCTGTGTCTTTTGGTCTGGTTAATTTTGTGAGTGATTTTTTCTTTAAATTTGCAACTTTCTTATAATAAAGTTTAAAATAAAATTTAAAATATGTTAACTTTTTTTAAATTTGTGGAATTGGAGAGATGATTTAGTAGTTAAGAACTCTTGCTACTCTTCTAGAGGACTCATGTTCAATTCTTAGCCCCACATTGTGGCTAACAATCATCTGTAACCCCAGTTCCGGGGGACTCAACTGCCTTCTGGCCTCCTTGGGCACCAAACACTCACACAGTATGCAGACCTGCACACAGATATGCCGACATACACGCAAGCAAAGCACCCACACACATAAAATAACAACAGTTGTCTTTTGTAGACTGGTAGGAAGGTAGGGCAGAGGGTACTTTTGTGGACTCAGTGCTCATCTTTCTATCTTTGCGTGGGTTCCAAGAACTGACCCCAGGTATTGGGTTTGCATACCAAGTGCCTTTGCCTGACAAGCCATTTTGTTGGCCTTAAACCTATTTTTAGAGAAATCTTGTATCGTATCCCCTTTTGGTATAAAGAATACATTGGAGCTGGGCAATGGTGGTGCATACCTTTAATTCCTGCACTCGGAAGGCAGAGGCAGGTGGATCAGAACAGTCCTAGTCTAAGGAGTTTAATTAAACTCTTTGAACTTTTTTATAATTGCATATTATGATTGTTCCAGCTAATTTTTCTACTGGTAAGGAATTATAGCAGTCGGCAATAAGTCATTCTGTTCTCTGCCCTCTTGCCTTAGTGGCTGTTGTTGCCATTTGTTTTTTCTATTAGAAGCTTTAGAGTAGAGACTTTTAAAGCAAATACTCGAGCACAGAATTCTCTATCTTTAGAATATTCTACACTGACCAGGTGGTTGTAGAGCACCCAGCACTCAGGAGCCAGAGTTCGAGGCCAGCCTGGTCTACAGAGTGAGTTCCAGGACAGCCAGGACTGTTACATAGAGAAACTCTGTCTCGAAAAACACAAACAACAAAAATTTTAAAAAGGGTGCTGGGGAGATAACTCAGCAATTAAGAGCACTGGCTGCTCTTCCAAAGGTTCTGAGTTCAATTCCCAGCAATCACATGGTGGCTCACAGCCATCTATAATGAGATTGGTGCCCTCTTCTGGCCCGCAGGCATACATGCAGGCAGAACACTATATACTTAATAAATAAATTTTTAAAAAAAAAACAAAGAATATTCTACACAGACTAGACTGTTTTAAACTAACCATAGAAATTTTATTATTATCCAAGGGATGGTAAGTTTAGAAGTCCTTGGATGTATTTGAGCCTGCTGAATATTTTAAGTCTTTACTATTGAGAAGAAGTGGGAGGAAAATATGTCACACATTCCATACACTGTGGTATTAAGTTGTTTAAGGACACAGGTACAGCCGGGTGATGGTGGCGCACGCCTTTAATCCCAGCACTCGGGAGGCAGAGGCAGGCGGATCTCTTGTGAGTTCGAGACCAGCCTGGTCTACAGAGCTAGTTCCAGGACAGGAACCAAAGCCACAGAGAAACCCTGTCTCGAAAAACCAAAAAAAAAAAAAAACCACAGATACAATTACAAAGCTCAGATAAAGGTTTCAGATTGCCACTGTTAAATAATTTGTGTGAAATTATTGAAGGCACAAAGAAATCACATGTAAAAATTGATTTTTGTTTATTTAAATTCAGACGAGAAGGTTTTATTGTTGTTACCTTTATTATTGTTGTGTTGGGAATCAAACCCAGGGTCTCTTACATGTGAGGCAAGCACTCAGTAGAGATATGTCTCCACCCCAGAGAAACTTTATTATTATTCTTTTTAATTTATTTAGTTTACTTAATGTGCATTGGTGTTTTTCCTGTGTCTAGTCTATGTGAGGGTTTTGGAACCCCTAGAACTGGAGTTACAGGCAGTCTTGAACTGCCATTTGGGTGCTGGGAATTAAACCTGAGTCTTGGAAAAGCAGCAGTGCTCTTAACCACTGAACCATCTCTCCAGCCCTGAGAAACTTTATTTTTGATGAAGCATCTTTAATGGGATACTCACAGTTTGAAAGTTTGATAAGTTAATTTTTTACACTAGTTGATCATAAAAAGGCTTATGATGTGCCTAAATACAATTAAATGGCAGGAACTCTGAAGACTTGTGACATAAGATTAATCAAGTTTAATTGGTCCCTATGGTTCAAAGATACTTTAAATAATTAACCAAGGACAGACATACACAATTTATGGGTCATTTCATTATTTTAATTTCATCTTTTACTTTTGCTGAATATAGATAGCATTATTGATTCCATTTGGTTTAATTTAGAACCTTAAACTTTACTTTTTATTACAGTATGTGATGGTATGTGTGCATGTGACTGGACACACCTGGGCCACGGCACACTTAAGCAGCAGATTGGAAGTCAGTGCTCTCTTTCTGTGGTGGGCTCTGGGGATTGAACATGGATTTAATGGCAAGCATGCTTTTCCTTATTGAGCCATCTCACTGGCTCCTTTTTATCTTAATGCATTATCCCCATACTGTGCTTTTCCCTTAGAACATTTGCACCAGTGTGGGATGTGTTCAAAACATCTACAGAGAAATTGGCAAATTGTCATTTGGATCTTGTTAGAAAATTACAGGAATTAATAAAGGAAGTTCAGAAGTATGGAGAGGAGCAAGTAAAGTCTCATAAAAAGGTAACTTTTTTCTTGTTAAAGAATTGAGTGGTAAAATAGTAAGTGCTTTATAACTCATTTTATTGAACCACTTCTTATCAAACAGACTAAAGAAGAAGTTGCAGGGACTCTGGAAGCAGTCCAAGCCATTCAAAATATAACTCAGGCCCTCCAGAAATCTAAGGAAAATTACAATGCCAAATGTGTAGAACAGGAACGTCTGAAAAAGGAAGGAGCTACACAGAGAGAAATAGAAAAGGTAATTATATAAAAATATCTCTATACTTCCAAATTCCTTTCTTCTTTGTATGTGTAATGTGTGTGTGGTGTATTTAGAGCAGATGCATGCACTTGTGGAGGCCAGAGGTCAATCTGTCCTCCTCTGTCCTTCTCCCTTATCTTTTGAGGCAGGTCCGCTTACTGAACCTGGAACTAATTGAGCTAGACTGACTAGGAGGCCATTGAGTCCCTACTCCAAGAGTCTCTACTTTCTTCAGTACCAGGCTTACAGAAGTATACCACCATGCCTGGCTTTTATATAGATGCTGGGGACCTGAACTCAAAGTCTTTATGCTTCCATGGCATGAACTTTACTGACACCCCCCCCCCCAGATATTTACATAGTAAATTAATTGGTGAAATAATTTAGTGTATTTAGAAACACATAGCCAAGTAAAGATAAGCTTTAAATGTATGTTGTTGCTGACCAGCCAAATTTATGTTACATTGCAGTGGACTATAACTTTTTCCCTATTCTATTTAAGTTGAAAGTAGGTCTTTTTTTCTTTTGTTTTTGTTGTTTGTTGAGAAAAAAAAAACAGACTGGGATAGTCTGGAACAGGCTGGCCTCAAAGTCAGAGACACCTGCCTCTGCCTCCTGCATGCACCACCACTCCCAGTCTTTCCCTTCCTCCTAAAACAGTTCAGCCATTCGTTTCTTTGACATGTATCTCATTTAAAACTAATTTTGGAATCTTAGTAAAATATTTAATATATCTAGTTAGAAAAACAACAAATGTATACTTTCATATAGAAGTTAGTTGAGAAAAAAATAAAAACATTGATGGGATTTGGAGTAATAAGTCCTTTAAAGTTTATATAATGAGTAAAAATTGGGAGGCAAGAAAAAGATGAGGTTCAATTAAATCTGTAGTTTGAAACCTTCTGTTTCAAACACAGCAAATATAAATAAACTATGAACAGAAAAGCCAAGAATGAATTCAAAGGAAGAGGATTGTTTTGGGGGGTCAGCAGCCAAGATGACATGAAAAGATTGTAATCAAAATTTGTTGGGCTCAAGTTCCTAAGGTGGGTGGAATTTGACTCTTATATGACAAAGGAGAGCAGAAGTTCCCATTTCTGATAAGCCATAAAGAACTTGGCTCACAGCTAAAAGCCGTGTATGTGAAACAGCTATCTTAAGTCCACAGACTGGGAGATTGGGGTCTTGGAGATGTAAACTATAGGTGCAGAATCCTGATCTGGAGTCAGTTTATAGAACCTGTCCCTAATATTCTAAAAGGAGAGTAGTTAAAACTGTATTTTAAAAACACGTTAGATTAGATTTTGGAGAGTTGGCAGTGGATAACCTGAAAACTCAGTGGTTGAGCATGTGAATGATAAAGTAATATGTGGAAGGTGTGAAGTGAGTGTACTTCACATCTCCTGGGAAAGGGAAAACCCAGAAACCTCCCATTTGGAATGAGCAAACAGGTAAGATTCTAGAACACATTTAAAAAATCTAACATTGAGACAGGTGCTAATGCATTTAATAACTGGAATAAGAAATCTCATTGGATGAAATTTAAATTTAAAAAGCATCACAACAAAAATGTGTTAGGTTCTGCAAAGAAATAAGTGAATATGAATCGTACTGGAGAGGATTAAGAAATTAATGAAGGCATCATGAAACAAGATTTACTCAATAAAGCCCAGCTAATTTTAAAATATGGAAATGAAAAAATAAATACTAAAAACATTATTTTTAAACCAAAGAGCTAAAGAAGTTAATAGTTAAAGAAAAATTTGGAAGATAGGTTACTTTAATATTTACTCTTTATCCAAAATAGTTGGAGCAGGAACTTTGTCAGTTTTTTGGATCTTTTTCAGATTTTTAATTATTATCAATAGTATTTATTATTTTTTGAGATGGTTTCACTATGTATTCCTGGATGACCTAGAACTCACTATGTAGACCAGGCTGGCTTTGAATTTAAGAGATCCACTTGTCAGACGGTAATAGCAAACTTATATGGGTGGCGTGTAGCTTAGTATGGGCGTGTACACATAGGACTCCATAGAATAACCAGAACCACTCTGTGGGGCTTCTCCTTAGCCTGGGAGCCACCAGTCTGGAATATAAATGCACCATCAGAAACCCATGGTTGGAGCCGGGCGGTGGTGGCGCACCTTTAATCCCAGCACTCGGGAGGCAGAGGCAGGCTGATCTCTGTGAGTTCGAGACCAGCCTGGTCTACAAGAGCTAGTTCCAGGACAGGCTCCAAAGCCACAGAGAAACCCTGTCTCAAAAAACCAAAAAAAAAAAAAAAAAGAGATCCACTTGTCTGTACCTCACAATACTAGGTTTAATGACTTGCACCAGCATGCCTAACTGGGTTTGTAGTATTTGAATATGTATATTAGGATAGTAGTAGGACCCAGGTATTTATACAAGGTAAATTGCTTTGTTTGGACTAGAGAGATGGACTGACTGCTCTTCCAGAGGTCCTGAGTTCAGTCCCCAGCAACTACTTGGTTGCTCACAACCATCTGTAATGAGATCTGGCGCCCTCTTCTGGCCTTCAGGCATACATGCAGACAGAACACTATATACATAATAAGTAAATCTTTAATAAATAAATAAATAACTTTGTTTATATTTTATATTTATATACTTTTGAGGAGTGGGCTGGCAAGATGGCTCAGCAGTTAAGAGCACTGGGTGGTCTTGCAGATGACCCAGGTCTGATTCCCATCACTCATATAGTGGCTCACACCTATTGTAACTCTGGTTCTAGAGATCTGATGTCTTCTTCTGCCCTCTGAGGGCACTAGAAATGCACATCATTCACAGACATACATGAAGACAAACACTTGTACACATAAAATTAAAATAAATACACGTTCTTAAGTGCTTTTGTTTTGTTACAGGCAGCTGTTAAATCTAAGAAAGCTACAGATACTTATAAACTCTATGTGGAAAAGTATGCATTAACAAAAGCTGATTTTGAACAGAAGATGACAGAAACAGCTCAGGTTGGTATTTTCAAGGCTTTAAATTGAAGACAGAATGATTATATATGCTGATTAAATAATAGAATGTTTTTATTTTTTTTAATATTAGAAAAATTTAAACGAACCATTTCGGTGCTGTAATAATTTATATTGTCTTCTTGTTTTGGAGATAAAGAGCTAACATACCAGAGTGTTAATACTTCTCATACATACTAGTTACTTTTCATATTACTGTGACCAAACACCTGAGAAAAAGGGCTGGATATACCTTGGCTCGTGGTTTACATGTAGTCCATCATGATAGAGAAGAAAGAATATAATGTTATGTTCTTACATCTTAGAGGATCAGGAAACAAAGTTTGGTCTAGAACTAGAGCTAGATTAGACTCGTCAGGCCATGGCCCTATCTCATCGACCAGCTGGGCACATTTGTCCAAAGGATTCCATGCTCCCTCAGAACAGTTCAAACAGCTGGGGAATAAGTGTTGAAACACATGATCCTGTGATGGACATTTCATATACAGACTGTAACATGTCATAAAGGTTTAGTCAAATAAATAAGAAGAGCTATTTAGAGATCGTTGAGGAAAATGAAGGCATTGGTAGACGGTAAAGACAGTGCTGGCCCCTTAAAAATGATGACTAAAACATTCTAGTCTTTTCATTAGCCTCAGGTCCAGAGCTGCAGCACACCGTGAAGGATATGATTTATGATCATATTTATGATTTACTTCTGTGTAAGAATGCAACTGGAAGATATTCAGTAATGAAGATACAGCAGTAAACAAAACAATGAAAAAGCTCTGTTCTCACAGTGCTTAAATTTTAGTGGAGGGCCGGGCGGTGGTGGCACACGCCTTTAATCCCAGCACTCAGGAGGCAGAGGCAGGTGGATTTCTGTGAGTTTGAGGCCAGCCTGGTCTACAAGAGTTAGTTCCAGGACAGGAACCAAAGCTACAGAGAAACCCTGTCTTGAAAAACCAATAATTAATAATAATAATAATAATAATAAATATTTAGTGGAGGAAGGTAGGCAGTGGCATTGTGTTCTTTTAACTTGGGTAAATTATATGTAATTTGGTGTTCTTTCAGTCCTAGTTGAAGGCTTATTTTAAGATAGCCTGGTATTCACCTACATTTGCTTGTAACATGATTGGGTCTGTTTTAAAAGTTAGCTCTGGCAGTTTTATGAAGAATGTATTTTTCCAGCCGCAGAGCCGGTAAAGTTTGAAAGTCGGCATCCTTCAGGTGAGAAAGGCGAGGGTCTGGTGCATTTTAGATGAGAGTTGCAAATGCTGTGGAAGTCGCAGGGGTTAGGGAGGGAGAGAAATTCTCAGAGAGATTTTCACTGTCAAGTGCATTGGTAAAGAAGAATGGGAGAAACTTCATGAAGCTCTTTGTTGACCCGTGGAGAGCAGGTCAGATGTTCAGTTAGAGAGTATATTGATTTTGATAGACCAGTTGCTGTTACAGTGCCAGATGTAATTTGTTGTCATAGCCACAATTTTGAATTCTCAAAGTTCTGAAAACCCAGAATTGTTTTTATTGTAGCTCATTTGACAGCAAAACTTGACCTGAATCTGTGGGAAGTTGTTTATAATTTTGATTATTTTAGGCTGAATATATATGCTTATCAGTGTGATTGATAAGCACCAGATTGTGCTGATAGCACTAAAAATATGTCACATTTTTATAGTACCACTTGTCTTTATTTTAAAAGTCCAAAAATTGAATTCTAAACATACCTGGCTCCAAAGATTTTGGGTAAGAAATTATAAGCCGAGCCTTTTTAAGATAGTATGAGTTCACAAAGCCATAATGACTTCATGTTTGATTTGCACGGGTCACTGAGAACTTGGTAGATGAAGAGAAGCTAAGACCCCAGTAAATGCCACAGTAAAAGAAAACTGGGCCGTGCTGTGTCAGTGCGGCCACAGGTAATGACTGCAAAAGGCTCCATCATTTGTGTTACATGGAAAAGAAGATGGTTCCACAAGAAGGCTTTAGTTGTATTCAGTGAGATTCTCTAAAAATAGTCAAATTTCTGTCGCAAAGAAGACTGTCACAGACTGCAGCAAATGATGTTTTGACATCTATCTAAATTATTAAGAATGTGTATTCGTCCTTGTGGCAGTGGTGGCATACATCTTTAATCCCAGCATTTGGGAGGCAGAGGTAGGCAGATTTCTGAGTTTGAGGCTAGCTTGGTCTACAGAGCCAGTTCCAGAATAGCCAGGACAGAGAAACCTATCTTGAAAAAACAATAAAAAATGAACATGTTACTTGATTTGTTAATTTTACATTTCTGCTGATTAAAATACTTTCAGTTAATCATTTAATTTAGAATAGGAATTATAATTTGCTGTTCAGTAATTTTCTTTATTGATGTTACTTAACATTTTAAATTAAACATGGGAGTTTTGCCTGAAGAGGGCATCAGACCCCTGGGACTGTAGTTACCAAGTTACCAATAGTTGTAAGCATTCAGTGGGTGGTGACAATTGAACATGGGTCCTCTGGAATAGCAGCTAGTGCTCTTAACTGCTGAGACATCTCTTGACCTCCTAATTTTTTTTTTTTAAATTATATTTGTTCAGGGCAGGAAACAGCTCTGTGGAGTGGACTCTCTCCTGGCACTTTGTGTGATCTAGGATCCAACTCAAACCTATAATTTTATAAACACAAACAAGTTGTTTGTTTTGTTTGTATATTTGTGTTTTAGATTCTGTGTGGACCAAGCTAGCCTCCAGCTTGCGTTCTTGCCTTAGTATCTTGAATACTGGAATTTCATGTAGGAGCCACCATTTCTGTTCTTGACATTGCATTTTTTTCCCCCTGAGATGGAGTCTCACTATGTAGCTCTGACTCTGTTGAAACTCACTGTATAGACCAGGCTGGCATTGAGCTCACAGAACTCCACCTGCCTCTGCTTCCCAAGTCTCGGATTAGTAGTGTATGTCGCACATCCAGCTTTGCAAATATTAATAGTATTATTTTGAAAGTGTTTTTCTGGACTGGAGAGGTGGCTTAGAGGTTCAGAGTACTGGCTGTTCTTCTAGAGGTCCTGAGTTCAATTCTCAGCATCCACATGGTGACTCAAAACCATCTGTAAAGAGATTTGTTGACCTCTTCTGACCTGCAGGGATACATGCAGGCAGAACATTGTATGCATAATAAATAAATATTTTTTAATGTATTTTTTTAAAGTAGGGAAGTTATGGCACACACCTTTAAGCCCAGTACTTGGGAGGCAGAGGCAGACAGATCTCTTGTGAATTCAAGACTAGCCTGGTTTACAGATTGAGTTCCAGGACAGCTACGCAGAGAAAGCTGTGTCTCAGAAAACTGGGTGTGGGGAGGGGGCATTTTCCAGCGTCATAGTTCCATTTCCTTATCTTTTTCTTCTTTCTCATTGCATTTTCTTCAAAATAGCATTTTAATTATTTACTCTGACATTTGCAAATGAATATTAATTTACTTGAACAGATGTGAACCACACTACTTGTGAAGAGAGGGATAAGTTTATCCTGATTTAAATAATCCTTGCTAGTGTGTATATTTTCTCTTAATGGTTTTCTTTTTCTTTCGGATAGCTCATGTAATGTGCACTTGTATGTAGGCACACACAACTGCCTAGTATTTTTTTTTTAAGATTTAGTTTTTAAAATTATGTAATGTGTCCCCACAGAGATGAGAAGCGAGCATTGGATCCCCTAAAACTGGAGTTAGAGACAGTTATAAGCCATTGGTTTCTTTGCAAGAGCAGTACATGGTTTTAATTGCTGAGCCGTCTGTCCATTTCCTGTTATGTTTTCAAACAGGATTTCCATTGGTAGCCCAAACTGGCCTCAAATTCATGACCTTTTTGCTTTACCCTTCCGGCTCTAATAGTAGCTGTAAGCTGCTATATACCAGTAAAACTGATTCCTGCTATTTTTTTCTTGCCCCTTTTTCCTAAAGAAACCTCTATTTTTATTTGTGTGTGTGTGTTTTGTGTGTGTGTACACATATGTACCTACATTTGGTGAGTGTGCCGTGTGTGTAGGTGTCTGGAGGAAGCCAGAAGAGGGTTTTAGATCCCCTAAGTCTGGAGTTACAGGTGTTTGTGAGCTGTATGGTTTGTACTTACTCAAAGTGTGTGTGATTTAAGTTTTCTCATTTGGGTAGAAAGTAAGAAAGGCTGAAATTGTAACTTCTGTGAGAGTAGAATGGTAGCTGTTAGCGGCCTGGAGATGGGGAAGAGAAGTTCATTGAGTACTAAGTTAGAGTTAGATGGGGCAAGAAATTGTTATGTTCAAAGTCTCTAACATAAAGAATTGATAAATGTTTGAGGAGATAATGCTTTTCCTGATATAAACATTATATGTGGATCAAAATATTACATAGTACCCCACTAATATGTATAGCCTTTATGTTTTTGTATGTCAGTTTAAAATGTAACTTCGCTTTACGTTCTTGCCTCTTTTCCACAGTTAGTTATGGGATATTTTAAAAATTAGAAACATAATATGAAAATTTTGTTTACTTGGATGCAATGATACTGCTCTATGTGGAAATAGATTCTGAGCAAGACGTTGCTTTTGGGTATCTTTGGTGGCTGACGAGATTATGATTTTTAAATGTAATAGTGAATGTGAGCATTATAAGGGGGGAAGTTCAAGAAAGGTCATTCATTGGGCTGGGGAGATGGCTTAGTGATAAAGTGCTTGACACCCAGGAGTGAGGACTGGCGCTCAGAGCCCCAGACCCCACATAGTGCCACACTCAGTGTGTTTATGTAGTCCAGTGCTCCTATGCAATTTGGGTGGAGACAACCTTGGAAACTCATGGGACCCCTGGCCTGTATATGCTAGCTGGGTAATAAGAGATCGTTTCAAGTCAAAGGCAAGGACTGACACCTTAGGTCGTCCTCTGACTGCATACACTGTGCAGCATGCATGTGCTGGCACTCAACACATTAATATGCACACAGGTATGCAACCACCTTTAACTTCAGCTTCAGTGCATCTAAAACCAGCTTC